CCCGCGGGCACCGACTCGGGCATCGAGGAGGTGGACAGCCGCAGCAGCAGCGACCACCCGCTGGAGACCATCAGCAGCGCGTCCACACTCAGCAGCCTGTCGGCCGAGGGCGCGGGCGGCGGCGCGGCGGCGGCGGCGGCGGCGGCCGGCGGCCCCGAGCTCCTGGACACCTACGTGGCCTACCTGGACGGCCAGGCCTTCGGGGGCGGCGGGGCCCCCGGGCCGCCCTTCCCCCCGCAGCTCATGACCCCTTCCAAGCTCCGGGGCCGGGCCCTGGGCGCCGGCGGGGTCCTCCGGCCCGGCCCCGGCACGGGCCTGCGCGACCCCGCCACCCCCACCAGCCCCACGGTCTCGGTGACCGGCGCCGGGACCGACGGGCTGTTGGCCCTGAGCGCCTGCGCGGGCCCGTCCGCCACGGGCGTGGCCGGCAGCCCGGGGTCGGTCGAGCCCGAAGCCCCACCGATGCCCTTACCGACAGCCTCCTCCCTGCCTCGGAAACTGCTGCCCTGGGAGGAGGGGCCCGGCCCCCCGCCGCCGCCGCTGCCCGGGCCTCTGGCTCCGCCACCGGCCTCGGCCCTGGCCACCGTCAAAGCTAGCATCATCAGCGAACTCAGTTCCAAGCTCCAGCAGTTCGGGGGCTCCTCGGTCGCCGGGGGCGCTCTGCCATGGGCCCGGGGAGGTGGCAGCGGCGGCGGCGGCGGGGACAGCCACCACGGGGGAGCCGGCTACGTCCCCGAGCGGACCTCCTCCCTCCAGCGGCAGAGGTAAGGGGGGGGGGCGCACGAGGCTGGCAGAGGAGGTTGAGCGGGGTCAGAGCCCGCCCCGGGGTGACTGGCAGGAATAAGCTGCGACTTTGCCACCTCCCAGTGGCGTCCCGAGTCTGTTAGGATCCCTTGCACCCCGCAGTGAGAACAACACCGGCTCCTGTCTGCGCCTTGAGGGGCAGGCCCCTGAAATCTGGGGGGCTTTTGGTTCCAAGGTCACAGCTAACAAGAGTGACCAAGGTCTGGGCCAAGGACTCCACCTCTCTGTAGAGAAGAGATCTGGCAGTCCCTACCTGAAGGTTTGGGAAGAGCGGGGCATGGTGGTACACACCTATAATCCCAGCTACAGGGGAGATGGAAGTAGAAAGCTGGAAGTCTGAAGCTTGCTAGGCAAAAGCACCAGACCCTTTCTGAAATACAAATTCGAAGCAAAAGCGCTGGAGGGAGGGGGAGACACAGTGGTAGAGGCCCAGGGTTCCATTGTCAGTACCACCAAATGAACAAAAACTGGGGAGACTGGGGAAGGACAGGCTGGGGGGGGGGGGGGGGGGGCTGCTCCCAAAGCAGCTGCTTAGCTGAGATTGCCACAGTCTGAGCCGACTGGAGTCACATTCCTAGTTCAGCATCAGAGGAAGAGAGGTCCCTGGATTTCTGCTTGTCCGTGGATCATTTGGGGCTCACGTTCCACCACAGGGGGTTCTTGGGCCTTGGAGACCTAAAGCACTCGTTCTCAAGGAAGGAGAGGGTTGCTTACGTAGTCTATCAGGGCCTGTGTGCTGGACTTTTCATCTACATAGAAGACCACACTGAGCAAGAGTGAAGCTCAGGCCCAAGTGAGGATGGAGGCTGGACAAGAAGGAAAATAATCCTTGCAGCCATCCTTGGGGAGAAAGATGAAGAGGCAGCTTGGGGTGCTTGGAAAAGGGCTCTCAACTGACAGCTGAGAGGAGGGAAGGGAGTGGGGCCACCCAAGTGTGCAGAGGGGGAAAGCCAGTTCAAAGGCCCAGAGGCAGGGTTGTGTTGGAGGAGCTAAAGGGATGAGGGGAACATTTTTCTCCCCTTGTTTCTTCTCTCTTTCATCTCCCTCTCTTCATCTTTCTCTCTGTCCCCCATTCCCTTCCATCTCTCTCCCATGAATGCTCACCGTCTTTTTTTCCCTTTCTCTCTCTCTCTCTTTCTCCCGCTCACTTTCTCTCTCGTCTCCCTGTCTTCCACTCTGCTATGACTGGCCATAACCCAAAAGGCAGTATAGAGTAGTGGTTAAGAGCTCAGACTTCGGTGCCCTATAACTGCGCTCTGCCACTTCCTGGCTGTGTGTCCTTAGGCAAGTTACCTAACCCTGTCTGGGCCGCAGTTGTCCCGGGCGGCAGAGCTGTCCTGGGGCTTAAATTGAGACGTGATACCTAAAGTTCTTAGCACCAAGCCTGGCACACGTGAGCAGCAGTAAGTGGTGGCGATAACTATTATTATCATTTAATGTCTCTTTTTCTTTTCATCTCTCTTGGCTGTCGCCCTCTCCCTGTCCTCTCCTCTTTCTCTCCCTTCACTCTGTCCTGGCATTCATCTTACCCGGCCCTCCCTCCATCTCTCTCTCTCCATCTCTCTCCCCGCCCCCCTCCCGCCTCTCGGCCCTCCCCACCCTGCCCCTCCCCCCTCCCCCTTGTCACTTTTCAGACTCTCCGACGACCCCCAGTCCTCCTCGCTCCTCTCCAAGCCCGTCAGCAGCCTGTTTCAGAACTGGCCCAAAACCCCCCTGCCGCCGCTCCCCACGGGCGCCGGGGTCCCCCCCGCGGGCTCCGGGGCTGCGGGAGCCACCTCCCCGACGGCCTCCGCGGCCTCCTCATCCTCCCGCCACCTCCAGGGCGTGGACTTCGAGATGCGGCCGCCCCTGCTGCGCCGGGCCCCGAGCCCCTCGCTGCTGCCCGCCTCGGACCACAAGGTCAGCCCCGCGCCCCGGCCCTCGTCCCTGCCCATCCTGCCGTCTGGACCCCTCTACCCGGGCCTCTTCGACATCCGCGGCTCGCCCACCGGAGGCGCCGGAGGCTCCAGCGACCCCTTCGCCCCTGTCTTCGTGCCACCGCACCCCGGGATCTCCGGGGGGCTCGGAGGGGCCCTGGCCGGGGCCTCGCGCTCCCTCTCGCCCACTCGCCTGCTCTCGCTACCCCCGGACAAGCCGTTCGGCGCCAAACCTCTGGGGTTCTGGACCAAGTTCGACGTGGCCGACTGGTTGGAGTGGCTGGGCCTGGCCGAGCACCGGGCCCGGTTCCTGGACCACGAGATCGACGGCTCGCACCTGCCCGCCCTGACCAAGGAGGACTACGTGGATCTGGGCGTGACCAGGGTGGGCCACCGCATGAACATCGACCGCGCGCTCAAGTTCTTCCTGGAGAGGTGATGGACGGCCTGCGGGCCCGCCCGGCCTCGAAATCCCACGACCCCTCCAGGGCGGGGACCCTGTGGAAACTGCGCCCTGCCCTGTCCCCCGAGACCCCCTGAGGTCATGGGGGACGACCCGGAGGCCGGACACTGCACCTCACAGGAGGGAGCAGCTGACACCAGACTGCGTGTGTGACACAGGAAGGGGGGAATGTGGTAGTGGACGATGTGACGTGGAGGGGGGACTGGAGGGAAGAGTTGATGGGGGAGGGGACAGACAGAGCCATAGAGGGTCAGCCCCAAGCCTGACCGGATGGGGGCCGTCCCCCAGGCCGCAGGAGAAGGGGTGCCCTCAGATTCCACCACCTGCCGCCCCTCTCACAGCCTTCCTACCCACCGTCTCCAGCCCCTCGGCTCTCCCTGCCTCCCCTCTCCCCAGCACACACCGCTGCCCTCCCCCGCCTCTTGCACGCTCGCTCTGCACGCCTGCTTCCCCCCCCCCCCCCGCAGCCTGCAGTTTTGCACAAACCCGTCTTGCACACCGCCTTTGCTTCCAGCTTGCAAGGTCCTCTCAGCTCTCAGTTCTTGCATACGTGGTATCTCTCCCCTCACGCTCCTTGTCCTCTGTTTACACACTCGTCCCCTGGGGCCCTCCCTGCACACACATGCCACTCTCCCCAACCTTCCTAGACCCATGATGCAGACACACATGGGACAAACCTCTGCCCTTCCTCTCCCAAGGCCTCTGGCTTCGCTCAGTCCTTGCACACTTGCCCTGGTGGCCTTTGGACAGGACACCTCCATTTTCATTATTTAAGCACTTTCCCTCCCACCCCACCTGCTCTGGCCCGGTCACCTTGCAGTCACCGCCAACCCCTCTGGCCAGTCACCTTGCAGTCACCGCCCCGAACACGCCCCATGTGCTCCCCCCCACACCTCTGCAAACTCCATTCTGGACTCCTTTGTGAACCTCTCCTTCCCAGCATTCCAGTACCCCAGCCCATCTGCAGATTCTTCCAGCTCCTAGGCCGCCTCTGCCACCTGCCTGGGGACCCCAGCACACGCCCCTCATTCCATGCATCCTGTTCTGTTTCTTTTCCTGACACCCTCGTTCCAGTGCTCATGCCCCTTCCTGGGAGAGAAGGGAGGGGTGCATGCACACTTGCTCACAGCTCACCAGGCTTCCTCTCCTGCCACCTCCCCTCCCTGCCTCCAGCCCCCCACCGTCCCTCTTGCTCTGCCTTGTCCTATCTGTCCATTTTGCAGGAAGGTACCCCCCCCTTTTCACCATCTCCCTTCCCCCTCCAGCATGGCTCTTCCCTCCCCGCACGCTTCTCCTCTCCCCTTATTCATGGGGCTTGGGAATTTTAAGCCACCCTTCCCTCGGGGGAGCCCCTCCCCTGCTGTGGGTAAAAGGGGGGGGAAGGCATTGCCCTCAGGTCCCCCTTGTTCAGCTGCCAAAGAAGGGAGCTCCCCCTCCAGCCCATTTCCCCCCTTGCTGCCCCCTACCCCCGAGGGGGGGGGCCGCTCCGTCTATGAGGGGAGGGGCAGCCCCCCCTCACCACGTCAGGGATCTGCGGGGAACCTTGTGGGAGGGTCGCGGGAGGGGGGAGGGGTAAGGAGTAGAGCTGAGGTGGCGCTAGGCCCCTACCCGCCCCCTCTCCCTGGTCGGATGCCCCCAGTCCGCAGGGGGCCTGCGCGGCGCCTGTCTATCAAGGGCTTGTTCATTCTGGATGGGTGCCGCGGGGTTGGGGAGGGCGTAGGGGGTGGGGAGGGGGGGGAGGAGAGGTGGGGGGAGGGACTGGACGGGGGGTGCAGCGCGGGGTGGAGAGGAGATACAAAGCAAAAAGAAATAAGTTACAAAGCAAAACAAAAAAAAAAACCCTAAAACAAAAAAATTTTCAGAAAAAAAAAAACCTGAAATAAAAGCCCGAGAATTGTCTTCCAAGGGGAGTGGGGAGATGAGGGAGAGGGGCGGGTGGAGACGTCGGTTCTCGAGAGACATGGGTTGCTACGGTGGTCCCTGAAAGGATTGGAACCCCGGGGTCCATTCCGGGCTGGAGTAAGGTTAGGGAGGCGGGATTATAAAGTGGGGGTTCGTCCCTACCCCCATCACCTCCCTCCCCTGACTCCCCACCGAGATTTTGCAGACAGAAATGGCTTTTGTACCAGGTCATTCTTTATAATTAAACTCGCAGTATCCACCCCCTCGAGCCGGCCCCGCCTCCTTCCTGGGGAGGCGCCGCTCCCTCGTCCTCCGGGGTTGGGGATTGGGTCTCCCGAGCCAGCGGGGCGGGGCGCAGGCACAGCCGGAACCCGCCCTGCGCGTCAATCCTCCTCGGTCGGGTCCGCCCCCAGGGCCTCGAGCATGCGCCGTCGGACCTGAGAGCGGCGCAGGTGCAGGCGGTAGTCGTCCAGCAGCAGGTCGTCGTGGCGCACCAGCTGGTGCGCGAGCCCGCGGGGGCTGAGGCCCGAGCGCAGCAGGCGCGAGCGCGTCTGGAAGTCGGCGACGGAGATGAGCCACCTGCGGAGGGGAGGGGCCCGGCGGGAAAGGGGCGCGTCCCCGTACGCCAGTCACTCTGTCCCTCGAGTCCCTTTCGGCCCTACCCTCACCGACGTATTTCTAGGTGTCCCCTTCTCGCTCAGCCTTTCCAGGTGCAGAACGCACATCCTGGCTTTGCCTGTACCCATCACGACCCAGGTCACTCCGGATCTCTTCCCTGGGATCTCCCTTCGTACTCGGCCCGCCCCCTTTGTCCTCTCCCGACTCCGCCCTCCTCGTTCTTGGCCACGCACCCTCATGCATTCGCCACCGCCCCTCTCGCAGGCTCTCCTCTAGCCCCGCCCACCAGCATTACGCGCTCTAGGCCCCACCCCTACCGCGTGCCTCTGACCCCACCCACCAGTATAAGTGCGCTCGGCCCTGCCTTCCATGGCCCTCCTTTGAGCCCGCCCACCATTTAGGCGTCCTAGACCCCGCCCTCACGGCTCTCCCCCTGGCTCCACCCATCCGTCTTACGCGCCCTCGGCCCTGCCCCCACCGCGGCCCCCTAGCCCCGCCCACCAGTACGCGTGCCCACGACCCTCCTTTGGCCCCGCCCAGTCTCGCTGCGCGCTGTCAACCCCGCCCCCACGGCCTCCCTCTGGCCCCGCCCACCCGCTTTCCGGCGCAGACCTCGGCGCGCGCTCACCGGTCTCGGCGGCCCGCGGTCCCGCAGATGACGTTCATGTTCTCAAAGCGGATGCTGTTCACGCGCCCGCCCTCCATGGCCCCGGGTAACTCGGCCTCCAGCGCCTGCAGCACCTCCAGGTGGGTGAAATCCTCCTGGAGGAGTCAGGTGGAGAGGCTCAGTGCTCGACGTCCCGGCTCCAGCCCGGTCCCCACATCACCCACCCTGGCCCCCCACGTGCGGAAGCCGCCGGGGCTCCACGTGGCCTCGAGCGGGCAGGGATCGCCCGCGTCCGGGGGAGACGCCCGGCATTCGTGTCCGGGGCGGCAGATCGTCCTCAGTCATTCCGGCGAGGGGAAGCCACGGAGCCGGTGGCCGGACCGGTGTCCCGGGTGGCCTCGCCCGGAAGCCGGGGTGGAGGCGCCGACGCGGCCGGGCTAACGCGCGCATCCCAAGGGATGCTCAGCCCGCGGAGGCTGAGACTGGTGAGGAGGGGTGAGTGCGCGTGCGTGCGTGGTTTTTCCTTTTTTTGGTGGTCCTGGAGTTTGAATTCAGAGCGTCCTGGAGTTTGAATTCAGAGCATCCAGCGTAGTTCTGCCTCTCTAGCCTCCTTTCTAACCTTTTCGTTTTTTTAATTAACTTTTCAGATAGGGTCTCAAGCTTTGTCCAGAGCCAGCCTTGGACCAAGATCCTCCTACGTTCCCCCTCCTGCCTAGCTGGGATTACAGGCACGCACCACAGTACTATGCCCAGCTTGTGTGTGAAACCAGGCAGTTGGTCACTCCCAGGAGGGATGAGTGAAAGTCTGGAGGATCACCTCCTCAAAGCCACCACCTGTAACTGTGGGATGTGATTGCCAAAGGACTCTGCAGAATGGCCAACTCTGGCAAAAGCATGGGTTTTTCCTTGTGAGTGAGTTTTTTGTTGTATTTGAAACATCACAGAATTCCTCAGCAGATCGATTCACAGGGCTCCTTTTGCCCTCAGCCTCGGGCTGTCTGCCTCTCTGCCTCCCCTCTGGGATGCTGAAGTTTAACAAGTGATCCTTTCACAAATCTACAATTGATTCTTGCAAATGGGGCCCGGGCCAGGCCTACAGCTGGTGCACCACAGAGCCGAGATTTTAACCTCAGTCACCTCAATCCTGATTCCCACCCAGACTAGAAACCCAGGGACCACCGAGGGCACTCACTGAGGAGGAAGGGGCACTCACTGGGGAGGGCACTCACTGAGGTCTCCATGCACAGGCAGAGCGGCTGGGCGGCGGGAGGGGTGGAGAACTTGCGGATGCATGGGAGGTCTCTGTCCAGTGCCTCATATTCTGCGATGACATGCCTCATGTACTGCTTCCTGGGGAGAGAACAAAGAGCAAAGGTCTCCAAAGTCAGGGGACATTGCTGTCGCCTTGTGGAGGGGGGGGCTGAGAACAGAGGCTGTGGGGAGAAGAAGCCACTCACGAGGATTTGAAGAGCCTGCCCAGGCTGCGAACTTGTATCTCCTCCGGAGTCTCCAGGTCCACACGGACAGTTCCTGAGGACAGAGACCCCAGTGTCATCGGCCCCAAGCCCTCCTCAGCCTTGAGCCCAGCACTGTACTCAGAGGCCAGCTCTACGGTTTTTATCTCTCAGTTCCAAATGCTGCCCTTTCATATGGCTCCCTGAGGCTGGAGCTGAGACAGCTGTGTTCTCGTTAAGCTCTGCCTGAAGTGGGCACCAGAGGGAGACCACAGCGCTGGAAGAAGCAAATGGCCTTCCTTCTCTTTGCTTCCCCTTCTGGTCAACCCCACAGGTTTCTTCATTGTATCATGTTGCCTGAGTCAAGCACAGTGGTTCAAGTCAATAATCCTAGCTGCTTAGGAGTCAGAGATAGGGAGGTTCACAGTTTGGGGCCAGCCCCTGTGATAAAGTTCACAGACTATCTAGACCACTGGCTGAGCACAGTAGTCCACACCTGTCATCCTAGTAACTAAAGGAAACACAAATAGGAGGATCACATCCCTGGGCATAAACAGACACTCCCTCCCCCCCCCCCCCTTTTTTTTTTGCCAGTTCTGGGGCTTGAACTGTGGGCCTGGGCACTGCCTCTGAGTTCCTTTTGCTCAAGGCTAGCATTCTACCACTTGAGCCACAGCTCCACTTCTGGTTTTTTTTTTTGTTTTGTTTTGTTTTTTTTTTTGTCGGTCGTGGGGCTTGAACTCTGGGCCTGGGCACTGTCCCTCAGCTCTTCAGCTCAAGGCGAGCGCTCTACCACTTGAGCTACAGCACCACTTCTGGTTTTCTGGTGGTTTATTGGAGATAGGAGTCTCACGGTCTCTCCTGCCCGGGCTGGCTTTGAACCGCGATCCTCAGATCTCAGCCTCCTGAGTAGCTAGGATTACAGGCGTGAGCCACCAGCGCCCGGCCCACTTCTGGTTTTTTCTGTGACTAACTGAAGACAAAAATCTCATGGACTTTAAACCTAGGCTGGCTTTGAACCACGATCCTCAGATTTCAATCCCCTGAGTTGCTAGGATTACATGTGTGAGCCATCAGTGCCCAGCTCTGTGACCCTATCTTGAAAATACAAGAAAGGACTCAAGTGGTTGAGTGCTTGCTTACCAAGAGCAAGAATGGAGCAAAACCAGTATGGCAACACCAAAACCAAAAAGCATTTAAGTCTAGCCTGTGAGTATTCACCTCCCCCTCCCCTGCCCCTGAACTCTCTTAAGAAACAAGCCTACTTCATGAAACCTAACAGATGATTGCCTCATATCTGGCCCCTACTTGTCAGCTGGCTTCCTACAGCCCATCTCTCAGTGTCCCCTTCCCTTTTAACTTTAGAAGTTGTACTGACCAGTCCCTAGCACACAGCTGCGCCGCCTCCCTTACAGCTATGTGTGGCCATGTGACCATGCTCTCCCTAACAGAGTGTTAGTAAGAGGTCCAACTTTGGAATTGTTTACTTAAAATTGCTTAGGTCAGGTGTAGTGAGGATACACCTGGAATCCTGGCTACTGGGAAGGCAGAGACAAGATTGAGGTTTGAGGCCAGCCTGGGGGAAGTCAGTGAGGCCCTATCTGGAAAAAAAAAAAAAAAAGCAAAACGGTTTCTGGGTCAAGTGGTAGAGTGGTAGCCATCATCTACTAAGCATGAGGCCCTAAATTCTATCCCCAGAATCGCCAGAGGAAGAAAAGAACATTGTTAGTCTTGGACCTTTTCCTCCTCCCCTTGGGCTTGGCTGGGCCAGCAAAACGTCAGCTGTCCTGGTACTATGACATGGTGAGCCAAACATGAAAGCAATCTGGATCCCTGGATCAACTCGTGAGCTCCAGTGTCCACAGCCCCAGCCACCTGCCTCAGTCTCCCAAGTGTTTTGACAGCCAGTACAATTCACTCCTGCTGAGCAAAACAAGACCAACACCTGGCAAGACCACCGTGTCTGTGATGCACCAAGACAGAGTACCAACCCCGCCCCACTCATACCTCAGCAGAGCCTTGAACACAAACAGTGCCCATCCACAATACACACAAGGTCAAACCCCTCTACAGGCTCAGAGCTGATGTCTGTTTCTATTGTTTTGTTGGAGACAGTATCTTGCTATGCAGCCCAGGCAGGCCTCAAACTTGCTATCCTTCTGCCTCAGCCTCCCAAGTGCTGGGATTACAGGCCTGTACTACCCCACCTGACTAATGATCACTTCTTTAACCACAGCATTAGCTCCTGGAGCCTCAAGATAAGACAACAGACGCAGTGGTGGACTCTACCCTGCCCCTTGCAAGGGTCCAAACCAGAGCAAAGCTTACTCCCCTGAACCACAGTCTGCTGCCCTCTACAGCTCCCTTCCTGCCTTAATCTGCCTTCTCAGGGCAGCCATAGAGAGCTCTTCTTTTTGGCACCACATAATTAAAACCTCCAGAGGCACCTATTATAGTCTAGCTGGGATGACTGGCACATGCCACCATGTGCCAGGCTGCTGGTGAGTCTTTCGGCCTGGAACTGTGATCCTCTCAATCTCCCAAGCGCTTAGGATGACAGGTGAAAGCCATTTCTAGTTTAGTCTAGTTTTTGTTTTGTTTTGTTTTAGTTTTATCTTGTTTTCCTCTTTGGTACTGGGGATTGAACTCAGAGCCTCTTGCTCCCCACTTGAATCAAGCTTCCAGTCTTTTTGAGTTCAGACCAGGCAGAGAAGTAGAAGGGCAAGAAGATGGGGACTGATAGAAGGAATGGGGACTAGCTGGGGAGGAATAGCTTCTGGGGTCTGACTCTGTGCCTGAGTTGGTAATGGGGTCATTTGAAAATGAAAAACTGGGTAAGAAGAAAGAAGACTGCTTACAGCGGAAGACGAGGGTGGGTATCTAGGGGGAACAATGGCCTCCGAGAAGTTGCTAAGACTCCGGAGGCTCATGGGATATGTAGTCCTGTGCTCCAGCGTATTGGCCGGAGAGCTACGGAAACCCATGGGAAGTGTAGTTCTGCTTCCAGCGTATTGGCCGGGGCGCCACAGAGCCTCATGGGAAGTGTAGTTCTAGAAACCGATTACTGGCCGGGGAGCCGCAGCGCCTCATGGGAAGTGAAGTCTTATTTCCCAGCGTGTTGGCCGGGAAGCTACGGAGGCTCACGGGAAGTGTGGTTTGGAGCCCAAAGGGCGCTAGTTCAGGAATTTAGGGGAAGTCTTTCGCTTTGAAATGCCAGTGACTGGTCCAAGCCCACGCTGCGGGCCAAGGCCACCGCGCAGTCCCGCGACGAGGGCCGGCCGCGTGCACCCCCGCCCGCCCCGCGTACCTGCCTCCCTGTGCGGGCTGCCCTGGCTGGCGGAGCACGGGGGCTCCGCCTCGCGCTGCGCCCTGGACGGGAGGGCGGGGGCCGGCTCGGGGGGCTGGGGCGGGGGGCGCGGGCCGGTCCACCCCGCCCGGGTGAGGAACGACGAGCTGGAGGGCTGGGACCACATGGAGAGCCGGGTCCCCCTAACCTCGGGGATTTCATGTGCGCCCCACTTCTTCCTCTCCCACCTCCCGTTCTCGGTCCCCGTCTCTCCCGGCCTCCGGGCGCTCTCTCTCCAGCCCTGCTCCTCCTTCGCCCCCCACTTCCCGGCCCGGCTCCCGCTCGGCCCCTCTCCCCACGTCTCTGCTCTTCTGGGCTTCGTCATCTTCGTCCCCTCTCTCCTCCCCGGGTCCATCTCCCCCGCCTCCTCCTCGTCCTCCTCGTCGTCGTCCTCCTCCTCTTCCTCTTCCTCCTCCCCCGCCTGCATCAGTTTCCCCAGCATGACCCCGGCCAACGCGCCCTCCCTCTCTTCATCCCCGTCTGCCTCTCTGGAAGCCTGTGGCCCTCTCTCGACGCCCCTGCGTCCCCCTCGGCGTGTCCCAGCTCTCCGCCGGACCCCCCCCCCCCCGCCTCTCCTCCCCTCCCTCGTGCACCCCCCGCCCGTCCCGCGCACCCCCATTCCTGTGTCTTACGCATGAACTGGTTACACGCAGGTGACACACAGAAAGGGGGTTTCCTCTGGGGGTCCGGTTGCCATGGTACTTCTGGGGGCGGGGGTGGGGCTCTGAAGAGGAAACTGGGGACTTGGACTTCAGGGTGGGGTTGCAGGGCTCGGCCTGGATAGCTTCCTGTCTGTCTCTCTCCCTCCTCACAGCTTTCTAGATACATCTTTCTATGTAACCCAGAATTCCTGCCCTAGAATTCCTGCTTTCACCGCCTGAGTGCTGAGATTACAGGCAGGTACCACCATGCCCTTACCTCTGACTATTCCTCTCCACTCCCAAGCGCTCTTCGTCTTCCCTGCCTGTTGTGCTTTTCTGCCAAGCATCAGTTCTCCATTTTTTCTGAGCAATACCACCTTGATCTCAAGGGCAAACAATCTTTAGACAAGTCTTTAAGACTTTTCTTTCTCTTTTCAGGAAGTTGCAAGGCTGGTCAAAGCTGAGGATGTAGCTGCTGGGGACTAGGTTGACTTGCCTGAGAGCAGAGACAACTGGAGGGAAGCAGAGTGCAAAGAGAAGACAGGTTCCTGGTAATGATTGGGACAGCTGGATCTAGCTATGCCTGAAACCCTTGTCCACTCAATACATTTCCTCTTTATACTTAAGTCAATTCAGTTTGAATTGTTGTCATTGGCAATTTTAACAGCCCATACTTACATAGCCTCTGTGAGTTGTTTTCTATAGTCTTGCTCCATCCTGCACCACCTCCACAGAGGTGCTCCTCTAGGTGCCTGCCTCTAGGCCAGCTTTTCTTGGCACAGAGGCAGAGCCACATGGGAAAAAGGGGAAAACCATGTAGAGGTTGGGTATCACTTCGGAGACATGATTTCTTGGGGTGGCTGTGGGGTGCTAATCACTGTAGGTGTCTGCACAGGCGACACTGATGTTCCGTTGCTTCCGCAGGAGAAGCAAACAGCCTTTTGCTCAGGGATGTATTCATTGAGCGCCACTGTTGTCAGTGACAAGGGAGAGATGGTGGGGTGTCATGCAGCTTTCTGAGCTGCAGCTATGCTGTAGATCTGGACTCTACCCCAGGGAGTTAGCCTCCGTGAGTCTCCATCTTTTGCCCTGTGGGGTGGGAAGAATATAATTGTGTGACCCGCAGGCCCCCACGTGAAGGCGCACTGGGCAAAGCTCCTTAAAGCCCTTAGAACAAGACTCCTAGTGGCCTACGGGCAGTTATTAGCTGCTATCAATATACCAGAAACTCGTGTGTGTGTGTGTGTGTGTGTGTGTGTGTGTGTGTGTGTGCCAGTCGTGGGGCTTGAACTCAGGGCCTGGCTGCTGTCTCCTAGCCTTTCCACTCAAGGAAAGAAGAGTCTTGTGGACTTTCCTGCCCCAGCTGGCTTTGAACTGCCATCTTCAGATCCCAACCTCTTGGGTAGCTAGCATTACAAGCATGAGCCATGGGCCCTCAGCTCTTATTTGTTGCTTTTAGGAAGTATTAATTAGGGGCCTCCTTGATCCAATGCGTTATGTATGTTGGCTGGTTCTGGAAACTCGCAAGTCCCTTCGGCAGGGCGTGTAGGGTCTGTACTTTCCTGAATCCCAGCCGGGGCTGCTTCTGCTCGGGGCCCTGACCCTGCGGCCTGCACCTGCTCCCACCCCTCGGGCGGCGGCCCTTCAAGTCCGGCGTCCCGGGGAGGGGCAGGGGTCCGGCGTGGCGTCCCAGGGCTGTGGCGCCTCAGTCCCGGGCACTCTCCCTCCTTCTCCGCTGCAGCCTCGCGATTTTGGCTTTCGGGATGCAGGTTCGGAGGGGTGGAAGGAGGGGGTGCAGGGGGAGGAGCTGCGGACCTGCGGCAGGGGCGGGGAGAAGCCGCGCGGGGCCGGTGCGGGCGGGCGCGCGGGGCTGCGGCGGCAGCGGCGGCGGCGGCTCCGGGTGAGTCCGCCCCTCCCCTCCCCTCTCTCCTCCCCTTCTCTCCCCTTCTCTCCCCTCCTCCTCCTCGACCCCACGAGGGGGGGGGGCGGCGCGGGGAAGTGGGGGTCGGTGCCGCGGCGCGTGGACCTGGGGCTGGGGAGGGGGCTCTGTGGTGTTCGCGGCCGCCCGGGCGAGGGGCGCACGGCCCCGGGAAGCGGGGGTTCGACACACCTGGATGTACCCCATCTCCTCCCATCCATCCCCACAACCCGGACGTCGTCCACTCATTCCTCCAACCCGAAGTATTTGGGACTCTGTGGCCTTTCGAGGTCCTGGACGCTGTCCCCTATTTTCCTGCAGCATCTTGGGACCCTGGCATCTTAACACCCCCCCCTCCCCGCGCCCCAACCTGCAAAAAAATCCCATCCTCTCTGCAGCCTGGAGGGGCAGTTAAGGACTTCAACTCCCATCAGCCCTTGCGGCATAGGGTCTGTGAAGCCTCAGCGGCAAGAGCGCACTGCCTACCGGGAATTGTAGTCCTTAAGCATTCCCCGGAGGTGGGAGGGGGCGGCCGGACCACTCGCCTCCTCTCGGGGGTCGTCTGGGGTCGGGCAGCCGGCGGGAGGAGGGCAGGATGGGTGGCTCGGGCTGAGTTTTTCCTCTCGGCTTCGGTCCATCAGATCAGAGCCCGCACCCCCCCCCCTCCCGCGTGTGGGGACCGGTCCACCCCGCTGGTCTGCCCTGCAGCCCCCATGGGCCGCCGCCCGCCGCCGCCTCGGCTGGCGCCCAGGACGAGGCGGGGATAAGCGCGGTGAGTCCGCCGGTGCCCGCGGTGCCCAGCACACCTGCCCGTCCCCACCTGCCCGCCCCCACCTGCCCTCTGCGTCCTCGGTCTGGCTCCAAACCCGGGCCCTGCCTCTCTCCTCCCCAGTCGGCCTCCCCCCTGCACCGCCCAGCCCCCTCCTAGGGCTGCCAGGGATCCAGGCCGGGGTCCGGCTGTCTGTCCTTCCATCTGTCCTGGGTTTCTGCTCCCGTCCACCCTGTGCTTACTTCCTACCACTTGCACAGCCGGCTGTTGGTGCATCCTGCTCCCTTACACAGCCTTCCATCCCAAATCTCAATGTCTGACTTCCTTCTGTCTGTTGGTCTCTCTCCAGTTCACCTCATCCTGCACCTCCATACCTACCCACTTCTCTCTCCCTCCTCCTCCTCCTGCCCCTGTCCTCCCCAGCCTGGTGCCTTCCCCTAAGCTCCGTGTCCCTGCTATCCTAGCTGCCTCCTGCTTTTCCCTGCCCCAGCCCCTGCTGCCTGTGGCCAGCTCCACCACCTCCTCCAGGGAGCCAGCCCTGACTACCCCTCTCCAGGTCTTGCTTGCTGGTTGGTGTTTGCTTTTCTTTGCTCTTCTCCTTTATTGGGCTGTGTACACCAGAAGCTGGGTGGCTCCACTCCCCTGCATCTGGGGCAGCCAGCCCAAGGCCTGCAGTTGGCCCTCAATGAATATTAGTTGGGTGAATGAATGAATGAGTGTCCGTCCCTGAATTTTGTCCCCCCCCCACTGGTGCACCTCTAATTTTTGTCCCCTTACCTATCTGCTCCTTTATTGGTCCATCCTGATTCTGCCCCTTTGCTGGCCTTCCCTCACTCAGCCTGCCTGCCTGTCCTCTACCCTTCTTCAGCACCCCTGTACCCCTGCCCACCTGTTCCCCCCATTCCTGTCCCCCTCCTTACCTTTCCCCACCTCTCCCTAGCACGGGACCCCAGGGCCACCATGTCTGGAGACTACGAGGATGGCCTCTGCCGACGGGCCCTCATGCTGGCTTCAGACCTGTGTGCTCGCGTCCGGGATGCTGACACCAGCGACAGGTGCCAGGAGTTCAATGAACTGCGAATCCGAGGCTACCCCCGGGGCCCTGATGCAGGTCTGCACCCCACCCTTCAGGTTCCAACAGCCGCCCCCGCACTCCAATAGCATGATAGACAAGACTCGAAGAATTCGGCTTTCCATTTCATTTGGTACCAGATCCACTTAGAGTCCTGCCTCCATCCTGCTTGCTGCTACCTTATCTCCAAAACTCCTAAGTGGAAAGAGCCTTGTGTTCAACCTGACCCCTGACCTTTGGAGTTGTTCCTTGTGGACCCCCAACTATGACCTCTTCAGGAGTCTTTGAGACTCTTGCATAACTAGAGTTTGCTAACTTGAGCCCCAGACCATAATCCTTCTACTGATATTTTCCATATATCCAGGATAACAGGTGCATACCACCATGCCTGACTTACTAACTGAGATAGGGTCTTACTAACATTGCTACCTGATCTGGCTTTGAAACACGACCCTCAGTTTTCAGCTTCCTGAGTAGCTAGGATTACAGGTGTGAGCCACTGGCACCTGGCTTATCAGCCTCATTTTCAACAGGGGAAACTGAGGCTCAGAAGGGTGAAGAGACTTGTGCAAGATCCGAGGGCCAGAAAGCAGCAGACTGCTTCTCAGAGCTGCAGGTGTGGTCAGTGGTAGAGTGACTGCCTCACAGGGGCAAGGCCCTGAGTTCAAACCCCAGGACTATCCAAAACCAAAATGGCTATATAGAAACACCTCTTTCCAAGGGGTGGAGAGCTCAGATTGAGTCCTGCATTCAGAGTGCTTAGGTAGAAGATGCACTCTGACCCTTCCTGACCCCAGGCCCCTCTCCTTCTCTCTAGACATTTCTGTGAGCCTGCTGTCTGTCATCGTGACCTTCTGTGGCATCGTCCTCCTAGGGGTCTCTCTCTTCGTGTCTTGGAAGCTGTGCTGGGTGCCCTGGCGGGACAAGGGTGGCTCTGCAGTGGGTGGTGGCCCACTGCGTAAGGACCTGAGCCCCGGGGTTGGGCTGGCTGGCCTGGTGGGTAGTGGTGGGCACCACCTGGGGTCTGGCCTGGGTGACCACCCTCTGCTTGGCGTCCCCCCTCACCATGCCCACGCGGTCCACCATCCGCCCTTCGCTGAGCTGCTGGAGCCGGGCAGCCTGGGTGGCTCTGAGCCCCCTGAACCTTCTTACCTGGATATGGACTCGTACCCAGAGGCCGCCGCCGCCGCCGCTATGGTGGCCGCTGGGGTCAAGCCGAGCCAGACATCTCCAGAGCTGCCCTCCGAGACTGGGGCAGGGTCGGGGCTGCTCCTGCTGCCCCCCAGTGGAGGGGGCCTGCCCAGCGCACAGTCGCACCACCAAGTCACAAGCCTGGCGCCTACCACCAGGTGAGAGGGGGCCCCCCGGGTTGGGGGACCACCCCACTTCTGCTCCTCTTCTGTGGCAGCTTTTCGCCCAAGCCTCATC